CCCAGTACGGAGCTTCCCCTTAGCTAGACAAACAGGGCATTTGCCTTTGTATTGTCCTTGACAACAAACTGATTTACAAGCCCTATATCACAGTGAAACTGGTTTGGTGAACACCACAAAAGTAGGAGCATAGGGAAAGGGCAGGCCAGTGGTTAGCATGCTAGCCTGCAGCTTTGCAGGTGTGAGTTCAATTCCTACCTCTACCACAGCCTCCTTGGTAAGTCATTCAGGCCTAGATTTGTAAAGGAGATTTAGGAGCTCAAATCTCATTGACAATCAGTCCATTTAGATTCCTAAGGGCTTAAATCACTTTAAAAAATGAGCTTTAAGCTCTTAAATTGGTTAGGTGTTGTGACGCTGTGTGCAGCAATGCCCTAGTACTTTTACAAATCTGGCCTTAGGCTCTCTCTGTGCCTCGGTTTCCCGTGTTAGCAATCTCAAACCTCAGACCCCAGTTCAGTAAGGGATTCTCTGAGGCTTGTGAACCTTGCAGGGAAACCTGGAACCAGCGGATGGGGTTGGCATCAAACCCAAGAGGTGTTTGTAGCTTGACACAAAAGGAGGTGAAACTTGACAGAGTGTGCCTTGCACTGAAAACTCAGAGCAGTGCTCAGTGCAAAACCCAAAGGCAAAGTCTGCACACAGCCCTGGGTAGTAAACCTGGGCTTTGCTTGGGCAGACCCATCGCCCCCTGCCAGCTGCAGTCTGGCTACACCCCATGAGCTCCTGGACTGTGCCAGGAATAGCCACATGTTGAAGAGTTTGCTGAAGAGCGCCGCTTTGTTAAGGTAGGGTGAGCTCAGCCGCGCTGCTTGGGAAGTGCACAGTTTAGGTCGGGTTTCCTCGTGACGCCAAGCTGGTGGTTGCAGGGTCCTGGCTTGAGGCTGAAAGGTTTACACACAACAACGGGCAGAAGGAGGGATGATCTACACTGCAGCGGGGAGCGTGCCTCCCGATCTGGGGAGACAGGCGAGGACTAGCTCCGCCCCACCTAGCGTGCTAAAACATTGCGGCACGGGCAGTGGCATGGACTAGCCACCTGAGCATTGGGGGGAGGGACCGCTCATTGGTTTGAGCATTGGCCTGCAAAACCCAGGGTTGTGAGTTCAATCCTTGAGGGGGCCATTTAGGGATCTGGGGCAAAAATTGGGGCTTGGTCCTGCTTTGAGCAGGGGGTTGGCTTAGATGCCCTCTGAGGTCCCTTCCAGCCCTGATCTTCTAGGATTCTGTGACCCGGGGGACCAGGCGGGCTTGTACTCGGACAGCCAGCCTTGTGCTGACGCTAGCCCCAGGCCAGCGAGCACGGGTCTGTCCACCTGGGCTTGGAAGCTCGCCCGCGGCTGCAGGGTAGACACACCCAGCGTGCTACTGGAAGGTTATCCAGAGTCAGAACACATGGAAGGCTGTCGCTTCGTTACTGAAGGGTTAGCTCAGCCAAGCCCTTTTGTTACTGTGGGGTTGTGTGAGCCAGGCTGGCCCTGCCGGAGAAAAGAGCGCGGAAACTTTGTATTTATACACTGAAATGTACAAGACCTTTTTAAACAGTGACATTTGATGCAAGCTTGGGCACCCCAGCTTCTGGTTGCATCCCTTTCAGTCCTGTTGTCTACAGGGCTTTTTCCCCTCTTTGGTAGAGGGGACATCAACCACCATCTAGCCAGTTCAAAGAACGGATAACCAGGCTGGGCAGGGATGGTGTCCCTAGCCTCTGTTTGCCAGAAGCTGGGAATGGGCGACAGGGGACGGATCACTTGCTGATTCCCTGTTCTGTTCATTCCCTCTGGGGCACCTGGCACTGTCCACTGTCGGGAGACAGGATTCTGGGCTAGATGGACCTTTGGTCTGACCCAGTCTGGCCCTTCTTATGTAGATACATGCCTCTGAATCTGCCTCCTAACAGAAGGAAAAGAGATGACTGAGCCAGACACATGGCTTGGGAAGAAACCACTTCCCTTCCACCACATACTCTACTGTGAGCCCTGGCCATGCCCTGCCTCTGGCCTATTAATCAGGGTGGATAAAAACAGGTTTTTTTTTTAAAAAAAAAAAAAGACGCTAAGTCCATGTAAGTTAAGTTATATAACTGCTTTAATAAATATAGCAAGATATGGTGTATCCTCCTGGTTTGCAAAAAGAAGCACCACGTTCAGTATAAAAGCTCTATTTCATTAAAATCGTCGTGTTTTAATGGTTACCAACCAATGAATAAACCTGGTTTTAGGAAAATAACTAAAAAGCACAAATGCAAAGATCAATAGAAACAAAGGTTTCCTGTTTGCTGATTTAAATCAGGGTTAAAATGGGTGATTTAAATCACTTCTTCGATCTAAATCCACTCACCCTGCTATTAATGGGAGCAGTGAATGTAAATCGCCAGGCGCAAGGAATGAGCTGCTTAGATCTTTAATTACCCCCTTGCTTCCTTATCTGTAAGTTTGTCCAGCCCCAAGCAGTGCTGGGCTCCCACTGAATTCAACAGGAGTGTATCTGGACACTCAGGCAACTTGCAGGACTGGGCTCCCTGTGGGTTTCACGCTGGCGAGAGGGGCAGGATTGAGAGCCCTGGGAAATGAAACCCACTAGTTATCCCCAGGAAGGACAGAGTGTGGGGCATGATGCGCCCTCCCCCACAGCCCAACCAAAGTATCTCCTTGCCCCGACTCAGAGGAACCAAGCCTGGGGGGCCAGAAGGGGCTCAGTATCTGGGGCCTATTCAGTTTGTCTCCTGAGCCCCCCGTTCCCACCCCCATTTATCCCCAGTGCTGCTTAGAAATGGGGAGGGTCCTGCCCTGCTCCGAGAAGGAAATTCTCCAAGAAGCTCTTGCTTTGTGGGCAAGGGCACTCAGGAACCAGGGCCGATCCCAATGAATCGAGGGGAATTTCCCCCTCCCCAGGTTGCCGTGCCCTCTCCACCCCCCTAGCCCCTCCCTGATCCCAGGGATTATGCCGCTGGCGCCAGAAGGAGGCGCTTTTCTCCCAGAGATCTCAGTGCAGCTCCAAACTGGCCATTAGGCGGTCCTAAGGAGGGGCAGCAGGTGGGTGCCCTTCACCCACCTGCTGGCCCTTCAGGTGAGCTTTGGACCTCCACAGTGCGGTTCATGAGGTCCTGTCCCAGCAGTTATAGCCTCTGTCCACAGCCTGGCGCCGTTCAGCCCAGAGGGTATCGTATACAGGATTTGCCTAACAGTGGCCAATGCATGCTGCTTTGATAGAAGTTACAGGCCCCAGCATGCATCAGACTGTGCTATATCATGGGAGAGGGTTTTCCCTCCTGACCTCAGCTGGTCTGGTGCCCAGGAGCATGAGGATCTGGAGCCCCTGCCTTAGCAGGTGTCACTGCAGATGCTATTCCTGCCATATAAATCTCCCAGCCTTTCTCCAAGCCTGCTAAGCCACTTGCCGCGCTATTACCTTGGGGGAGGGTCCAAGACTGGCTCCTTGCCCGTGGTCCGGCAGCTCAGCGCAGCAGGCCTGTGCTGTCAATGGGTGCGTGAGGGCTGCAGGTTATGAGGACGCGAGTCACTGCTGGCGCAATTCCTCAATGACATGGGTGAGTGAGACGCTCACTGCTCTCAGTGCTAGAATTTAAACACGCAGTTGAGGTCTACAGTTTGACTGTCCATTCATCCATCCGTCCGTCCGTCCATCCATCCGTCTGTCCCCACACATACCCCTGCCTCTTCCATCTCATCTATCTCCCTATACAGACCCCTCCCTTATCTGTCTGGCTTTCCATCTCATCTCTCTTCCTGGCATCTCAGTACCCCCCTCTCGCTCTGTCGCGCTTCTCTTTCAGGGGCACAGTCAAGTGGGTCCTCGGCCCTTTGGCGTCTAGGCGGGGAGCTCAGAGCAGGCCGAGGGTCGGCCACAGGTCAGAAGCAGAGCGGCAGGAGGTGCTGGTTACTCTGGGGTGGCTGGGCTGCCTGGTTTGGGAGGGAAAACAGAGACTTGGGATTTCCAAGGGCAAGTGTCATCCAGGGGTTGGAGGAAGAGCCTCTGTTTTTGGTGTATCTGTAGCCCACTGAGCCTTAACTCAGCCCCGCTCCTTATTTCACTGAGAGGAGGTGATGTGCTGAGAGCTTCCACGTCCCCAGAGCCCAGCCAAGTCCAAACCGGGGATCTGGTTCATAGATTTTAAGGTCAGCAGATGCTGTTATGACCTGCTGAACACAGGCCAGTGAATGCCACACCCGGATTCCTTCCTCAAGCCCATATCTTGTGGTTGAGCTAGAGTGTGTCTTAGAAAGAGACGACAATCTTGATTTGGACAGTCCCTGATGGAGAATCTGCCATGTCCCTTGGCATGGCCTGTGACAGGGCACATGGTCAGCTACAGGGGTCAGTTCCAGATCTGGAAGCAGATCCACCAGAGCTTGGGGCTGCTCCGAGGTCTGGTTTGACCCCATCGCTCTCTCTCGCTCTTTCTATCAGGCCATTGCATTGCACTCTGGGTAAATGTGCGGAGCGGCTCATGGGATCCCTCCCCCAGAGAGCTTGGGTCTAAAGGGACGATGGACACAGCCCAATGGGGAGCCCAAACGCAGCCTGGGGAGAGTAGATCTGCTGTATCCATTTATCCCTCCATCTGCTACGTCCCTCCCTTGAGCCATGGGCTCCATGTAGCCAGGGCATCTTCTCCCCGGAAGGGACACAGCATTTGCCAGGGAGGGTCTGTCGCTCCAGATTTCGCTGTCCCCTGGTGGCTGGAGACACCCCATTGTCGCTCTGGCTCCTGGGAAGGTGACTGGGTGGGTGAATCCATTTGCTCTAGGATGTTTAACACATTGTGGCTGTGTCTTTCTCTCTCCTTTCCCATTCCCTCCTTTTCTCTCCCTCCTTCCCTCTCTTCCTTCTGCCTTTCTTGCTCTTTCTTCTTTCCCTGCTTCCCGTTGCGTGCTCTATCCCCATCCCGCCTCTCCCCTCTCGCCTCCATCACCCTGTTTGGCTCTCTTTTCCACTTCGGCTGCACTCTGTCTGCCTCCCCCCCCCCCCCCGCCCAGGTGAAAGTCTGGTTCCAGAACCGGCGCACCAAGCAGAAGAAGGACCAGAGCAGGGACTCTGAGAAACGCTCGTCCTCCACCTCCGAATCCTTCGCCACGTGTAACATCCTCCGGCTCCTGGAACAAGGGAGACTTTTGTCCGTGCCGGCCCCTTCCAACTTGCTCTCTCCGAACTCGAATCCCATCGGGAGCCCTGCCGGGAACGGAGCCAGCCGGGCTCCCTCCGGCACCACCTCACCCGGGCTGAGCAGGAGTGGAAACAGCCCTCCGGGGACTGGAGCCTTCCGCCTGCAGGTCCCGTCTCTAGCATCCTCCTCTTCCTCACCCCGGCTCCCTGCCACCGCGCTCTGTTTCAGCGGCCCGCTCCTGGGAAGCCTGCATGAGCTACCCAGCGGCTACGGGCTGGGGACCTCTGCCTTTGAGCCTTACACGCGGGCGGAGAGGAGAGACAGTCCGATCCCCAGCAAGAAGCCGAGCCTTTAACTAAAACCCAGGGTCAAAATCGTTCCCCACGCCATGTCTCCCACCTGGGGCTGGTCTTTTGCCTGTGGACTCTCAAAGGCCAGCGAACAAATGCCCAGGTGACTTGCGTGTGACTGTGTGTCCCATATACACCCTGCCTGATGTGCCCGACTCACTGGGGTTCCCCGGGGAGATGCAGGGGAAAGCACAGCTGGTGGGCCTCGCCCCATCTCAGATTGCTCGGGGGTCAAATGCACCCCACTTCAGGGTGCCAGCCAGGTAGTATTTATACACAGATGCTCTGTCTCTTGCCATCAGAGCCAGGGTGGGGAGTGAGGGTCGGGGGAAGCTTTGCTGGCACCATGTGTTTTATTCTGCCTTTGTTTGCCAATGATCCTCGCACCCGAGCAAAGCGCCACGGAGTGAGACCGCGCGGTCGCTGTCTGATCTGTTTGATTGCAGGCTCCAGAAATTACCCAGTACCCTGGATGTGGAGCCAGACCTGGATGGAGGCCAAGTGGGACAGGAAGTGCCAGGCAGCTAAAGCCAATCCTGGATTTTATAATGGGGGGTTGTGATGTTACAATATTCAGGGGCGGGGTGTGACTTGGGAAGAGCAGATCCCCGCTCCTGTGTGTTGATTAGAGAGGCAGTGTGATCTCGTGGTTAGAGCAGAGACATGGGAGTCAGGGCTCCTGGGTGCTATTCCTGGATCTGCCTCTGGGCAAGTCCCCATTCTGTGCCTCAGTTTCCCCATCTGTAAAGAACTTTGTGCTCCTTTGTTTAGGTGGCTTGGGGGAGTTTGGGGAGCCCCTAGCAGGAGGGGGAGGCTCAGAGTCTAGTCTCTTTGATCTTGCCTTAATCTGTCCCTGTTGCACATGGGGTCAGCACTACCCTCCCTTGGTTTGTTAATCCCATCAACATAGCGGGGGTGTGGTTGAAGGAGGAAGCAGGCACCTCAAGCATAATGAGGACTGTACATACAGGCTGGCGTTGGTGCTTTCAGTCCCCCTTTCCCCCCCACACAAGCACTTTTGGCACAGAGAAGAGTGGGACTCAGAGAGCCCCTTGCCCGGATCCCAGCCCCTCTCACCTTTCTCCAGCGCCGCGCACATGCCGGGCCTGGGGGCCTCTGGCAGCTCTTCTGCAGCGGTGCAAAGACAGGTTCCAGAGCAGCAGCTTTAAGGATGGACCTGACTGAAATCATTGCGTCCCCCCCCAGCCCCAAAAGGGGTGTCTGGTGTTTGGAGCAGCGGCCGTTGGCTTTTGACAGGGTATATACAGCACTGACAGCTTGCCCAGATGGGAAATTAATGGGGAGCCCTACAGACTGTACACAGCTGCTTAACAAACGATCTATGGATAGTCACCGATTTATGTATCACACCAACACCCCAATGTCCATGCCCACTTGCCAAGCAGGATAATAAACACAGCTCCCAGGACGGCTGCCAGCCTGGACAATGTGGCTGCTAGAAAACACGGCTATGCAGGGATGTTAACTAACGTGACTCATGTTTTTACGGCTTTTCTACTAGGGACATGGGAAAAGAGCCCAAGACCCAAACATTTCCATGTCAACCAACAGTGACAGCATGCGGGTGAGTCATTAAGGCCCAGACCGTCAAAGGTATTTTGGTGCCAATGGGAGTTAGGCACCTAAATACCTTGGAATATCTGGACCTAAGCCTTTAGCAAGACCTTTTCTAATACCCTTAAGATCACTCAGATGGTGTCAGAAGATTGAGGCTGGTCCTTGCCTTAAAGAGATGCCACCTGTGGAAAGGTGTCCGAGGAGCAGCCGTGTTAGTCTGTATCCGCAAAAGGAAAAGGAGGACGTGTGGCACCTTAGTCTCTAAGTCTCTAAGGTGCCACAAGTCCTCCTGTTCTTTTCACCTGTGGAAAGTTTGTCAGTTCCAAACAACCCGAGTTCAAAGCAACTTGGGAATTTTCCTCCGTCCACCCATGAACATTTTTGACCCAGATGAAAACGTTCCAGGTTTTGGCTGACAATGGTTTTGGGTGCAGAAAGCTAGCCTTTTTAGTTATTGGGGGGGGGGGTCAACGAAACGCTCAAACCATTGAAATTGGGCATTTCCTATGGGACTCCCTGCAGGGACAGAAAGCCAAGTTCCCCCGCAGCAAGGCTTGGGTTGAACAGGGTCGAGTGTTTCTCGTTCAACATTGTTTCAGGCCCGACATTGACCCCATGTGCCGCTGGCCATTTCAGTCTCCTGTTCTTGTTGTTCTGGAAACCTCTGAAAGAGGGAGGCAAACAACAGGCGCAACTGACTAAGTGCCTGGACAGGGACAGCCTGAAAACGACTGTACAGAAATTGGTATCAAATGCACGAAGCAACCAAACTGAAAAGCAAAACTCGAACTCTTTTCCCTGTCTCACCCCTCTCAGTTCTAGCTTGCATGGGGTTACTGTGACGACGGGTAAAGGGTTTTCAGAGAGAAGAGAAATTGGCGGAATAGTACCCCAGTAACTGGAAGTTACAGGTGGGATCAAGAGATAAAATTGGGATCCAGATCCAGCTTTTGAACCCTCTCGAATTCAGACCCAGGTTTCGGTTCAGCCCTCAATTGAGCGGGCACGGGGCACAGGCCTTTACGAAAGGGTTTCAAAAGCGCCCTGAGGCTCATTGCAATCTGGCACTTTGGTTCTGGCCCATTTCTGAGCAGAGGTGTCACATGTACTCCTGTTCTTTTTGCAGACTCAGAAGCGTTTCTCCTGGCGCCCCGGGCAGTGGGAGTTCAGATCAGACAAAACCCAGATTCGAACCACCCTTGATCTGGTTCTGTGAGGCCCAGTGAACCCTGGGCAGAGCCAAAGCCACCCTGTTTCCCTCCTCCCACTTCTAATTTAACCCCCCACCATGGCCTTGCTCCCGCCTTGTCTCCTTGCCGAGGCAACTGGTGCAATAAGCGACTCAAGTTGCAGGGGGGGAGGTTTAGGTTGGATATTAGGAAAAACTTTTTCACTAGGAGGGTGGTGAAGCACTGGAATGCGTTACCTAGGGAGGTGGTGGAATCTCCATCCTTAGAGGTTTTTAAGGTCAGGCTTGACAAAGCCCTGGCTGGGATGATTTAACTGGGAATTGGTCCTGCTTCGAGCAGGGGGTTGGACTAGATGACCTTCAGGGTCCCTTCCAACCCTGATATTCTATGATTCTATGATTCTACCGCTTTGCCACAGACACCCAGGGGGGTGTGATGTCCTGCTGATGGGCATGACTGATTGGAGTCGAGGCTGGCCAGGACTCCTGTCTGTCTGTCCAGCCGTGTCCTGGGAATAGGGAAATAGATACATAAAAAGGCAGAAAGCAGGTGAATCCAGGATGTGTGGGCTGTGTAGGAGGGAAGAATGGCTGTGAGAGCACAAGTGCATTATTAGCAATGGGCCCAATCCTGCAGTTCTGACTTGGGCCAAACTTCCATCGACACCAGTGGGAGCTGGGCTGGGCTGCTGAGCACCTGCCTAGCACTTGCAGCTTCCTGCAGCACCGATGGGGTTGTGGGCGCTCAGCATCAGTACCTCTCAGAATCGGGCACAGACGGAGGGCCTGATCCTGGCATCCACACGTCTGCTCCTGCAAGCAGCCTTTTGGATGTCAACAGGCTTCCTCATGCAAATCGACTTGGAAGGGCTTCAGGATTTCCTCCTGCCCTCTTGGCTCCCTTGCAAACCTAGGTCCTGATCCTGCAAGCGGCTGAAGTCCCACCGGCTCTAAAAGAGATTTGGGGGGTTGTGGTGGCTAATCAGCTGAACACGAATTCCCAGTGTGGCCAAAAGGGCTAACGGGGTCCTGGGGTGCATAACCAGAGGAATCTCGAGTGGGAGCAGAGAGGTGATTTTACCTCTTTATCTGGCACTGGTGTGACTGTGGCTGGGATTCTGGGCCCAGTTCTGGTGCCCACAATTCAAGAAGGGTGTGGATAAATTGGAGAGGGTTCAGAGAAGAGCCATGAGAATGATGAAAAGATTAGAAAACCTGCCTTCTTGCGATAGACTCAAGGAGCTCAATCTATTTAGCTTAACCAAGAGAAGGCTCAGGGGTGACTTGATGACCATCTTTTAGTACCTACGTGGGGAACAAATATTTAATAATGGGCTCTTCAGTCTAGCAGAGGAAGATCTCACAGGATCCAATGGCCGGGAGTTGAAGCTAGACAAATTCAGATTCGAATAAGGCGTAAATTTTGTAATGGAGGGGAATTAACCATTGGAACAATTTACCAAGGGCCATGGTGGATTCTCCAGCACTGACAAGTTTTAAATCAAGGCGGAATGTTTTCCTAACAGCTCAGCTCTAGGGATTATTTCGGGGCAGGTCTCCAGCCTGGGCTATGCAGGAGGTCAGACTAGATGGTCCCATGGTCCCACCTGGCCTTGGCATCTGTGGCTTTGATGGCAGGGTTGGGCCCCACCGGCCTTCAACTGGCCATTGACAAGTCACAGGTGCCACCCCCACCATTGTAAACTAGGGCCCGATCCTGACAACTTTACCCACCCTGAGCTCCCCCCATTGAGACCAATGGCTTCCATGAGGCCAGGCTTTGGCCGGTGGCGTATTGTGCTTGGATTGCTGTCTGCTGCTCAGCATGGCATTTGGCCTGGCCTGGCCTTGCTATCTCTAAGGGGTCCCCCCCGCCTCATCCCTCTCTCCCACGTCCCACCACCTCTCAGGCTCAGAGCTCAGCAGGAAGTTGCTGAGTGTCCCGGCGAAGGCTCTTTTGCCGTGAGGTTGCAGATGGGTTTGGGGCCAGGAGGGTCCCCCGCCTGCCTCCAGCCAGGAAACCTGGCTTTGCGGAGGACTGAAGCGCAGAAGATTCTTGGGAAGGAGCACGGCTTTGAACCCCGTCGAAATCTGCCGTCCTCAGCAGCGGTGTTTGGTCAGCACCCCACAGGATCAGGGCCGTAGGCGGGGCCTGCATTTGCACTGCCAGCAGCACAGGGGCTGAGGCCAGAGCCTGCTAATCCAGCCCATTCTGGGGTATCTGGCAAGCGAAATCAACCAGCCACTCCGCCTTTGTCAAAGTCAAGGCCCCCGGAGCCGATGGCTGGCGGGGCTGATGCAGTTCAGGCACGTCAGTTTCACAGCCAGCGGGACGCAAGGGCATGATGTGGCCAGCAGGCAAGCCACCTTTGGCGGCTCTCCCCTGTGTGATCGGGCAGCCGTTGCGCAGCTGGGTGAACTCGAGAGGTGTGACTCGAACCCGTGACCTTTAGGAGCATAGTCGAGCGCCTCCTTTGTCCCACTCCCGCATTAAAGGCCCGGCTTTGGGAAGCAGGAATGGATCGAGCCAGATCTGTTGCTATTTTGGCCTGGTCGGATCCAGCCACCCCCCTTCCACAGCACCCAAACCCAGCACTCCTGCTAGTGCTCAGGGTGCCCCTGCATTGGGGTGATGAGGAGGGAGCGGACTTTGGAGTCTAGGGCACATCCCACTGCGTAGCCCGCTGGGCGGAGCCCATGCCACTTTATCTCATGACACCCATGTCGACTCGCTCACCCAGACGGAGCCTTGTGCAATATATGCCGAGTCGTGGGAGCCGATGGGGGTGTGTGGCAGGGGTGTGCAAAGATTAACCCTTAGAGGGACGGATGATACCCACACGCTCGCATTCTACCCAGGGAATCCTTAGCAAGGTGCCAGTTGACCTCACCTGCCTGGCACCCTGTCCAGTGCCCACTGAGATCCCAGCTGCAAATGCCTTGTTGGTTTCAGGGAAGTGACGCCACTGTCACCATGGACAGGATCTGCCCTGGATGTTTGGGGGTGGGTGGCTTTCCCCTGCGATCCAGTCAGTGATTGTGCATGGAGGGCTGCTGCCCGCCGGGTGGGAGAGAGAGGTCATGGTGGGGCGGGGCGGTGACACAGGTTGCAATGGGGGCTGAGGTGATATCCTCAGTACCAAGATTGATGACACCCTGTGGCAATTGGGATGGGAGGAGCCCCTTGAGCTACACACTAACATGGGCTCTGTCTGATTTGATCCCCTTGTCCCTTCCCAGCTATCCCGTTCCCTCTCTCCATCACCTCTTTTTATCTTCATTTGCCCCCCCTTCGCCATCCCCTCCCCATCCTCTATCTGCATCCCCCTTCCCCTGCTCCGTTCTCTGTGTTTAGCAGAATGGGGCCATGGCACTTTCAGGGTTTGTTACAGTGTTTGGGCTGGGACTGCGGGGGCACTTCTGAGTTACCGCACAGCAGCTGCCACGGGCCCAGGATGGGGCGGGGAGGGAGGGTAGCAAACTTGCCATTTCATAGTATTGTGCCGTGTCCACTGTGCCAGAAATGCTGCCCCTCAGGAATCAGGTGGGGAATAATAAGCACTGGAGAGTGGAGACACCTTCCTGTGTCACTTAGTGGGTGAACCTAGGCTAGACTCTAGGTTGTAACTGTAAAGCTACAGGGTTAAATCCCCCACATGGTGGAAAGGTAATTTCTCATCCTGGAGCGTATAAATCAAAACCCTAAGGGCTTCCTGGAGAGGTAATCAATGCAGCACTGGTCGAAATACCTTTTGCAAAACTGGCTTTCCCACCAAAGGGCCTGTTTTCATGGAAAATTTTCGCATGGGTCCCGGTTTTCCTGCAACAAAAGTGCAGTAAAAATTTTGGCTTTTCAACAACAGAACAGTTTTTCCAGAAACCAATTATTTCAATCCACGCTCCCTCGGCTTTTGGTTCCATTTTTTTGGTCAAAACCCAGAAGTGGTTCATAGAAAATATTTACAGCTCAGTTACTTGGCTGGCCGCAACTGATTAGCGTTTTCCCCACCTGCTCTAGGTAAAAGCAAAGCCCTGTACAGTTCATGCCAAGGGTTCTGTGGTGCTTTTCATATAAGGAATCTCTGGCCTAAATTAATTCCTACCCATGCCCGTTAACTGCTGTTTGTAAACCCCTATAGGGTCATTAGTGGGGTCAACCATTCGTCTTTCAAACCCCAGGCCCCAGTTCAGGAAGAGTACTTATACACATGCTTAAAGTTAAGCATGTGATTTAGTGCTTTGCTGAATGAGGGACTAAAAGCACAGATCTATACTGCTTTAACTCAGTGACCAGCTCCACAGCTGCTCCCAGGAGTAACTTGTTTTCCTCTATATGGACCAGTCTCTTACCCTTAGCCAGTGTGTTAAACTCCTCCCCCTATTTTGAAGGGAAATATTTAAAATAAATGTTTTTATAAAGAGGTTTCACTCATTTTTTAAAAAGATCAATATCTATGAAATAATATTTATCGTGCATGTCACTGTCTGAGCACTTTGCAAATATTAGTGAATTGGCACTTTTGGGAGGTAGGAAAGTATCACTATCACTTTTTCACATATGGGGAAACAGAGGCACAGTGAACGGCCTGTGAGTTGCCCAAAGTCATAGACATTATTGGCAGAGCCCAGAATAAGGAGCTTCTCTGTCCCAGCCCCAGAACCTCAAAGGTGCACCTTACGCCCTTTGAGGATTTGGGCACCGGTCCTTTGCTTAGACCACATCTCTCTATTCTTATCAGGGTTTGTTACTATTGCTGGTTTACAGTTCCCCAAATCTGACTTTTCACTGGGCTTTTTGGTTGACTTGCACCAACAAAAAATCACAGCAGCATTTGCACACTTTGCCTCCTATGTTTTTCTTCAAGCTCTGGTGCTGGGGGCAGGTTTGCAAAGCTCAGCATTTTTTATTACGTTTTTGGTTGACATATGGTGTTTCGACAGGAAAAAACGAGACACGCCCCCCAAAACACTTTTTTGCAATTTTTTTTTTCTTTTTCATTTTCCCTCCAGCTCTGTTTGCAATCTGTTTGTCTGGAAAACCAACATCTAGAATCGGGGCCTTATGCTAGCAAACCGTTTCCTTTTAATGTTCAAGTGCATTTCATGGTTTATTCCTGGCGAGGAGTATTTCCGACCTTTTGAATTTTGACACAGCCGCGTGCGGCAAAATTTGTGCACAGATCCTGTAATTAAAATACGAAGAATTTCATATTTGCCTGGAGGCCCCAAACTTGGCAGAAATAGAATCCTCGTGCTTTAGGGCCAGGATCCTCTCACAGAGGGGCATTGGAAAGCAGAACCTTCTCTTTTGGGCAGATTATCCCATATCTGCCTGCTGCAGGTTTCATACACATTTCTCTGGTGCTGGCCCCTATCTGAGACAAGATCCAGGACTGGACAGTCGTCTCCAATACAGCAGTCCCTTTGTTCCAAACCCTGAATAAGGGCCTGGGAAATATTCATGAGGACGTTTGACAACTTTGCAAGGTTTCTCGTGTCTTGTTCTAATTTGGGGGAAATGGTCCGATCTGGTGACTAACACATTGCACTTTGAGAGCTGTTTTTTGTCCTTGTGAATTTCGAGGAAGAAAGGGCCAACTTTCACCCCAAACAGGGGCCGGTTTTCTTGCAAGAGAGCCTCCAAACTTTTGAAATTTCAAAATGTTGTGACAAAATTAGGCTTTGTGAGCATTTGAAATGTCACAAGTTCGGATGTAAAAAAACCAAACGAACCAGCCCCCCAAAACCCTGCCAACAAACCATCCATACTTTGGAGACGATTTTGCAGAAAGTAATATACTGGGGAAGGAAAGCCACTAATGGACCTGGAACAAAATGGCAAATATTTTTCCTAAAACTCCTGGCTGGAGGGAGAGGATAATTCCTATCTTTACCTGGCTCAAATCCTGACCCTCAGCTGGTACTGCTGCTTATTCCTTGCTGCACACAGAGACCCTTCCGAAGTCGCTAGCGTCCCCTCCAGAAATGTTCAGACGTCTGCTTTAACAAGTCAAAGAATCACCATCAAATCTGAAATCTGCAACCCCAACCATTCAGGAAATAACCCTGTAACCCTACCACCCTCTCTCTCTCTGTCTGTCACACACACACAAAGTCCTAACAGTCTCGAACACCAGAGATAAATCCTGGAAATTTATCGTAACTTGTACAATTTGAAAAAGAAAAAAATAAGTACTGTATGTAAAACTTTAATGAACAACGTGGTTTCTGATGGTTAATAAAAGTGATGTCATGATGCCCCCCTGCCTTTTCCTCCTTGCTTTCCAAGTGTGCAGAGCAAGCGATCGCTGTGAACCAGTCCCACAGTTTGAACGTCAGGACGCCAGCAACATTGCCCACTTCGACTTTTTTTAAGGGGAAAAAATGGAAACAATGTCCCCAATGTCCCCTCCCCCTCCCTATAAACCAGCTCAGCGAAATATCAACTTTTGACAATTAAAATCTGATAAATGCTGTCAACCCGCCACACCGGAGCAACCCAGTGCTCATGTGCAACCCTGCACTAACAAACCAATGCGTGCAGCTGGCGTTTGCGAGTGAGCGGACAATAGCCAACCCAGGTTGGCAGATGAGATGTGGGGCCAGAGTAGGGGGTGTGTATAAGAGACGGAGTCTGCAAGGCCCTGTTGTGGCAGAGAGACCGTCCTAGGGAAATAAAATGCATAACACGCGTCCCCTCACATCCACACAGTGACACACACGCAGACACACGCAGGGTCTCTCACAACGCTTTCCTCCAGCCGTAGAAATTAAAGCTGGAGAAGGTGCTGCTGTCTCTCCACCTGCCCCAGCCCAAAAGCTGGGCCAGGACGATGTGATGGATCACTCGCTAATTGCCCTGGTCTGTTCATTCCCTCCGGGGCACCTGGCCCTGGCCACTGTCGGAAGACAGGAGACTGGGCTAGATGGGCCTTTGCTCTGACCCAGTCTGGCCCTTCTTATGTTCTCATCAATCCTCTCTCCAGTCCAGTTCGGTCTCATACCCGCCTTGCCCTCAGGGCAGCCCAACCACTGGGACTGCACTGGGACCTGGCACAGGGCACATGCCCATTGTATCCGCCCCACTGTGCCCGCCAGGGGCAGGGACTCACTGAGCCCTAAGTGACTGGACCAAGGCCACAGAGGAAGGCAGTGGCAGAATGGGTTATTCCTGGCTCGCAGGCCGGTGCTCAGATTGCTGGGCCGTGCTGAAAGCTCCACAAAGACTGACCATGCTGCCATCCACACACAGTTTTACACTCACACACACACAATCACCTTCTCGCCCACACTGTTACACAATCTTTCACTTATGTGTGCGCACACACACACAACCATCTTCCCACCCACACTGTTACACAATCTTCCCCTACACACACACACAAAACCACTTATACAAGCACACACAATTATACACCCTTCTCCCTGCATGCACACAAATTACAAAACCTCCTACACACACACATATGCACACTTGTCTTCTCCTCCAAACACACACAGTTTCACAACTCTCACTCCACCCACACACAAAAACTTCCTACTCCTCCAGGACACAGATACACAACCCCACACTACACACAACCAACACCTACTCACTGACCACAGCTACACAATCGCCTGCCACACACAACCACCACCTACTCCCCCGCCACACAGCTACACACACCCGACACACAAGAAACCACCACCTCCTCCCCCAACACACAGCTACACAACCCTCTGCCACACACAAACAATACCTACTCCCTGGCAAAAAGCTACACAACTCCCCTGCCATACTCAACCACCATATACTCCCCCAGCACACAGCTACACAACCCTCTGCGACTCACAAACCACCTACTCCACCAACACTCAGCTACACAACCCACTGCCACACACACAACGACCACCTACTCCCCAGACACACAGATACACAACCCCCTGCTACACACACAACCACCTACTCCCCTCTGCACACATCTACACAACCCCCCCGCCACACACAACTACCACCTACTCCCCCCAGCACACAAGTACACAACCCCCTGCCACACAGAACCAACACCTACTCCCCATGCACACATCTACACAACCCCCTACCACACACACACACCTACTCCCCAGCACACAGCTATCCAACAACCACCACCTACTCCCCTGCCACACAGCTGTACACATCCCTGACACACATGAAACCACCACCTACTCCCCTGACACACAACTGCACACCCCTCGCCACACACACAACGACCTACTCCCCTGACACACAGCTGCACAACTCCCTGCCACACAGAACCACCACCTGCTCCCCAAAACACAGCTATACAACCCCCTGCTGCACAAACAGCACCTACTCCCTGGCAAAAAGCTACACAACCTCCCTGCCATACACAATCACCATATACTCCCCCAGCACACAGCTACACAACCCTTTGCGACACACAAACCACCTACTCCCCAGACACACAGCTACACAACCCCTGCCACACACACCACCATCTACTCCCCCGGTACACAGCTATACAACCCCCTGCCACACACACAACCACCTACTCCCCTGAGACACATCTACACAACCCCCTGCCACACACACCACCACCTGCTCCCCCGACACACGGCTACACACACCTCTGCCACACACAACCACCACCTACTCCCCCAGCACACAGGTACACAACCCCCTGCCACACACACAACCACCAACTCTCCTGACACACACAGCTCAGTGCAGAGCCCTGAGCTGCGGCCTCACTCAGCCACCCCCAGGTGGGAGCTCTCAGGTGACCTTCACCTGCACACGGGGTCTGGGGCTCCCAGCCAGGTGTTGAGGGTGCCCTAGTTTACAGTCAACAGGGGCCCGTGTGGGCAGGTCTAACCCACGCCAGGGCCAGCGGGGCAGAGCGAAGCAGCCGGGAAAGGGCAGATCTGACCGGTGTGGGCCTGGGAGGGATGAGCAGGAGAGCGTAACCCTCTGCTATAAAAACCCCCAGCTCCCTCCCGCCCCAGCTGTGCCCAGCGATGACTGCCAAGGTAGAGGTGAGGCTCGGCAGGCACCCAGCAGCGCTGGCAGGGGCCCAGGAGCATGCCCACGCCGTCACCAGGAATTATGTCACCAACCCCAGGCTGAGTGAGTACCATCGGGGGGGGCTGTGCTGGGAGGGGACTGGCGAGAACGCTCCCCCTCCCGCAGCAGTTCTCACCCCCCACCCCCATAATGTTAGCCCCGCTAGCACCCAGCCAGGGGCTGTGTATGGGGGGTTAGCAAGGAGGGGGGAAAGCTATGGGGACTTGAGCTCTTTGCATTGAGGCCCCCCCCCAAGGCCTGTGTGGTTTCAGCCTTGACTGTGAAGCCAGAGCTGTCCCTGGCTATCCGACTGGTTATCTAGTGTTTAGAGCAGGCAGCTGGGTGCGGGAGCTGGACGCCTGGGTTCTTTCCCCTGCTCTATGGCCCTGGACAAGTCACGTCCCTGCTCTGTGCCTCAGTTTCCCCACCTGTCCTTTCTGAATGGCTGGAGCACCTCAGGTGAAGTGCTGAGCCCGGTACACGTTTCTGGGAAGTCACGGAAGGATCCTTCCGCAAACCCTGGCAACTGAGGGCATCTGTATCGCAAGCTCAGGGGGTCACCCTTCCCCCCTGGGGTGTACATGGGGCCTGTTGGATTGGAGTCCTTAATTCCCTCTAGGATAGGGACCTTTTTAGTCTCTGTCTTCTGCCTCCTCCTTGTATTAGCTGCACCCTCAGCCCAGAATGGCTGAGAGGAAGTGACCCTGCCATGGTGCCAGGGCACCATTTCCCTGTGGCAATGGGGCTGAGTCACCTACCCCTTGGCTTCATATAACTCCTGGTGTTCACACTGAGGCTCGGGATCTGGGAGGCTGTTTCATACTGAAGTAAAAGAGTGACATTTACCCCAAAGAGAAGGGCACTGGGCCAGGTTCTGTTCTCAGCGACGCCAGCATAAATGTGGAGTGACTCCAGCAAAGCCGATGGAGTGACTCCAGATCTACACCAGTCTACATGAGAACAGAATCAGGCCCAGAAAGTGGATTGCTCAGTGAGAAACTTTAGATGGCAAAGGAGTCTCTCTCCTCCCAAATTGTGTATAGAAGTCACTTGGCAAAGTACTCAGCAGTCTCCACCATTGCCCCCCCTCCTGAGGTGTTGTGGGTGGGTGAGAGAGAGAGAGAGAGAGAGAGAGATCAGGTTCTGTTTGTGTATTTAGTTGTGTGTGTGTGTGTGTGTGTTTACTTGCCTGTCTTCCTCTCTGCCTCTGGACACATGCAGACTGCAGGTCTGGGTGTGCGTGGCTGTCTCTGTGTGCAGACCTGCGTGCCTGTGTCCCACCCACACAGTCAGCGCCTCAAGTCCCCTGCCCTGCAATTGCTCCCGGCTAACCTTGCCCAAGGAGAACTCCCGGAAGAGGTCCCAGCAGCTCCGGGCTGCCTGACGTCAGCCCAGCGTGACAGCTTCTCAGAGTAATACTCAGCCCTGGACCGGGCACTGTGACACCAAATGTCCACAGCTCCCAGGTCACGGCTTCTTCCTGAGCAGAAGCAACAGATGACCTGAAGTCTTTAAACAAAAGCAGTCTCCCCCCAACCACTCAGACAGCAGCCCCTGCTGCTTGCGTGCATCCCATGGACGGGCTTGTGTGTATGCGGCACCCCCACCCTCCACTGGATGGAATCAGAACTGCTCAAGCGTGTGTCATGGGCCCTGCACTGCACACAGCTACCGGAGGTGCTCCACAGACGTGGCTTTTGGAACAGGAGGATCTGAGTTGTGTGCTCTGCTGCTGTGAAATGCCGAGTGGCGAGGGATGCAGGGGTACCAGTCACCTGGGAAGGAATCTGCAGGGACCTGGCTAGCGTGAGGGTGGGCTACAGAGCCTTTTCCCCCTCTAAGGCACCTGTTCCAACTCAGCCCATCAGTCCAGACAGGTGATGGCTCCTGAGTGGACTTTGAGCACTGAGTCTGGAGGGGAGGGAGGCTCTGTCCAGGTGTGCCCCTTGCACTAACGGCCCCTTGTTGGCAATCTGTGAAGAAAGGGCCTCTGGAGCAGACCGGCCTGCTCATCCCTAGAGCTGGTCCCTCCCTGCCAGAGCAGCGTGGGGGAGCCTTCAATTCCTCAGTCCCAGTCCGGAGCCTCAGTTGCTTGCCACCTGTGGCATGAGCCAGGGGCAAAGACTTTATCCACCCAGCCCCCTGGGTTGTGGGCACAGAGCAGAGGGGCCGAATCTGCCCCAGTAATTCAGTGCAGGTGCCAAAACCGGTGGGTGCATGTTTCGCAGGCCCGAGTGTGCTCGTAAAAAGACCAGCTGGGCCTGATTCTCTTTGCACTTCCACCAGCTCTGTGCTCGGGTGAGTCCATTGTTACTCCTGATTTACACCCGTGGAAGTGAGAGGAGACACAGGCTCTCTTTGCCTACGGCTAAACAGCGGGTGTGCACTGTGATAGCAGCTTTCCAGGCAGGCACGTATCGGCTCATCGGTACCTTGGGCCCCCTGTCCCCTCCTCAGTCTGTCCTTCGCCAGCTGCTGTCTCTTGTCTTAGACTGTAAACGCCTCAGGGCCCGGACTGTCTGTGTTTGTACAGTGCTGAGCCCAGGGGGCCTGGTGTGTGACTGAGGCCCTAGGTGCAATAGCAATAATGAATACCTGGAAGCTAGCTGGCTAGCCATCGCACACTAATCAGCGTGGTAGCTGGTGCTCTGGAGTGCTCCATGCCTCAGTTTCTCCCGCTGTACAGTAGGGTTAGGTACTAATCAGCCCCTGTCTCCGGGACGTGTTGGGTGCTTGTCAGGTGGTATCGGATTCGTGGGGGGAAGGAGCCAGGGAGGGGGAAGGATGCTGCGGCTGCTGTTCTGTACAGCTGCTTTGAGATCAGGAAGGCCTGAAACACGCTTCCCTTTGCCTGACTGCCCCCCTTGCCCTGTGTGCCGCGATCTCCTTGTCCAGTTCAAGGGAAACCAGAACGCCCTGGTCAGGCTCTGCCTCACACGGAGCTGAACTGGTCCCGCGGAGCAGCTGGTGTTTGCTGTCAACAGCGGGGGCCGGGCTCAGCAGGCAGGGTTCCCCTCCTCGCCCAGTCCAGCCAGGAGGGCTTTGCCTTGCCCTGGGCAGTCGCAGGGGGAAGGGAGGCTCAAAGCCAGGAGGCAAAAGGGACGTCAGACCAAGCCCAGAGCCAGTTTGCAGCAGAGGGCGAGGGCCAGGCTGCTGCTGGTTAACTTCAGGCTCCACAGGGGAGGGGGAAACTGGGCAACTTTTCTTGGGGGAAAATGGCTCCCCTCCTTTTATGTTTGTCATGACAAATTTTGGAGAAAATTCTCATTAAAAAAAAGGGGGGGGATGGAGGGTTAAAAAAAACCCTGATTTTTTTAGCAACTGGTTTAGTTCCCCCCCCTCCCCATTTTTTTTCTCCCTGCCCCTTTTTCCATTTTTCCCCTGAGCAAAGGAGAAGGGAGATCAAACAATGAGGAAAAGTCAATCTTCAGGATTTTTTGTAGAAAAACTAAAACAAGTACAATTTGTCATCCACTAAAATCCCAGACCTTGCCCGACGGGACCCGGGACTCCCGTGCTGGGTCTGCCCCTGGGACCGAGGTGTCCTCCATCCCAGGTTTTCACCACCAGCCCCTCCTCCCTTCAGGATGCAACACGGGCTTTATTTAGGCTTAGCAGAATGCGATTTTTATTCTGTTATAATGTCGTTGAGTAATACTGAGGTTCATTTAGAAGCATTTTTCCCCTATTTTGATCGATGTTCGTTTTCTCAGATGTGGGAGATGGAGCGGGGGGGTCAGAGTAATTATTTAATGAGAGGAGATGCTGAGATTTTAAAGATTTATAACCATTAAAACACAAATTGTCAATATCCCATGTCCAAATATACAGAGTAAATATCCTCAAATCGAACTCGAATAAGTTCCCAAGGAGCATTTTCTTGCTTTACCTCGCTACAAATGTCCACGATTATCAGTGGAGACCTTTTTTCACCGGTTTGTGTGCATACGATGAAATTGACGTTTGCATCCCCAAAAAATCGAATCCTTTCACGCCAACCAATATGAGGTCCTGCAGCATTCAGGGCTGCACCCCAGAAGAGATTTTCTGTCCCTCGTCATGCGTGTTCATAGAATTGTTGGGAACACTGGGGCATGGCCACTAGGTAACTCGAGGGGATGGAAGACCACGAGTGTCGATGAAGCCCCCTCGCACTAGGCCCAGGTGTCCTTGGCCCCCCCTCCTGCCTGGAGGCACTCGCAGCAGCTCTGCGTACTAGGCCCAAGTGTCCTTGGCCCCCCCGCCTGGAGGCACTCACAGCAGTTATGCTAAAAGAAAAGGAGTACTTGTGGCACCTTAGAGACTAACCAATTTATTTGAGCATGAGCTTTCGTGAGCTACAGCTCACTTCATCACGAAAGCTCATGCTCAAATAAATTGGTTAGTCTCTAAGGTGCCACAAGTCCTCCTTTTCTTTTTGCGAATACAGACTAACACGGCTGTTACTCTGAAACCAGCAGTTATGCTGAGAATCTGCAACAGTATGTTGCAGAGTCAGACTGCCTGAAACTAAGCAAGGCCAAACAGGGGAGATATGGAAGAACAATGCTGAACAACAGCTTGAGTGGTTCGTTACCCGGTGTGCTACACCCAATAATCACAACGGGGTGGAGTACAGCAGCTCAGGACGTTTTCCCTCCAAAACAGGCTGGCTTTGGACTATCTCTTGGCATCCCAAGCAGGGGTTTGTGCCCTCATCGGGCCCCGATGTTGTGTATATGTAAATGATAGCAGTTATGAAATCTATAAAAAGGTGGTACAGGCTGAGGCCCATGCCCGAGCCGGAGCACAGGTTGCCTATACTGCCCCAGAGAACGATTGGTTGCAAACCTTGTTTTCAGGTTGGAGTTTGTCATCTTGGCTTGGTGGTTTATTTAGCCTGCTATTGAAATTTCTCTTTCCTGTATTGCTTGTATTACTGGTATTATGCTGTGCGGTATCATGTGTCAGGGCCCTTTTGCAAAAGTTAATAAGTCATTCTCTTCAGGGCTATCACAAAGTGCTTATGCAAAGTCATATTGTAAAGAAATAAGTAGCCCAAGTGAGAAAACTCAGAGCCAAGGCTGTTGAGTGTTCTCAAAGGGGGGAGTTGTTGGGAACACTGAGGAATGGCCACTAGGTAACTCGAGGGGATGGAAGACCACGAGTGTCGATGAAGCCCCCTCGCACTAGGCCCCGGTGTCCTTGCCCCCCCCCCCCGCCCCTCCTGCCTGGAGGCACTCGCAGCAGCTCTGCGTGCTAGGCCCAAGTGTCCTTGGCCCCCCCGCCTGGAGGCACACACAGCAGTTATGCTGAGAATCTGCAACAGTATGTTGCAGAGTCAGACTGCCTGAAACTAAGCAAGGCCAAACAGGGGAGATATGGAAGAACAATGCTGAATAAAGCAGCTTTATGTATAGTTTAACAAATGATACAGAGAATCAGGGAACTAGCTGGGAACTGGATTGGCTAGCTATATGGATACTTGGGGCAGCTTGCTATTGGATAAGTATGCTGGGAAAAAGGATGTATAAAAGCCTGTGTAACTTCCTGCTCTGTTGTGCAGGATTTGAGATTTTATTCTCCCTGTACCTTTTTGCAGCTGCAAATAAACTTTTCTGCTTCTCCACCCCGTTGTGATTATTGGGTGTAGCACACCGGGTAACGAACCACTCAAGCTGTTGTTCAGCCTCTCGGCACTGGATGCCGGCAACAGAATCATAGAATATCAGGGTTGGAAGGGACCTTGGGAGGTCATCTAGTCCAACCCCCTGCTCAAAGCAGGACCAATCCCCAACTAAATCATTCCAGCCAGGGCTTTGTCAAGCCTGACCTTAAAAACTTCTAAGGAAGGAGAGTCCACCGCCTCCCTAGGTAACGCATTCCAGGGCTTCACCACCCTCCTAGTGAAAGTTTTTCCTAATATCCAACCTAAACCTCCCCCACTGCAACTTGAGACCATTACTCCTTGTCCTGTCATCTGCTACCACTGAGAACAGTCTAGATCCATCCTCTTTGGAACCCCCTTTCAAATCCCCCCTCATTCTTCTCTTCTGTAGACTAAACAATCCCAGTTCCCTCAGCCTCTCCTCGTAAATCATGTGTTCCACTCCCCTAATCATTTTTCTTGCCCACCGCTGGACTCTCTCCAATTTTTCCACATCCTTCTTGTCGTGTGGGGCCCAAAACTGGACACAGTACTCCAGATGAGGCCTCACCAGTGCCGAATAGAGGGGAACGATCACGTCCCTCGATCTGCTGGCTATGCCCCTACTTATACAGCCCAAAATGCTGTTAGCCTTCTTGGCAACAAGAGCAGACGTGTTGGCATGTTGGCCATGCATGCTGCTTGCATAGAGCTTTTTGTTTCCTGGGGCAGGTTATCAGGACTGGGGGGTTCCCACACTCTCCATCTGGTTGTCCCTAGGGCTGGTTCCCCCCCGCAAACAGCTGCCAGTAGGGGAGTGCTAGCCATACAGCATGAAAGAGAGAGAGGCCTCACCACCGTCACTGAGGTTGGTAGGAGGGGCTCGCTTGGTCTTGTGCGCACCTCTGGCGTTTAGTGGCGGCTGAGCGCCCAGGGCTGCAGCACCTGGCTCGCTCCCTAATCACGCCTTAGCTCCCAATCCCAATCTGGATCCAGCGCTCAAGGCTGTTCGCATGCGGGGGTCTGGTTCACTCGCTGGCTTCACTGGGAGCTGTGGCTGAGGGTGGATGGCAGAGGACCTGAGCGAGAGGCGCTGAGTGTAGCCCAGTGGAATTTCCTGCCCATTTTCTAAGCTGAAAAGTTTCTGACCGTTCAGCCAAAGCTTCAGAAAAAGTAATTTTTGGATGCCTCTCCTGGCCGACCGTCTGGACCTCCGGGCTGCTCCCCCGACACTAGTTCAATAGTAACTTGCCACTGCTGAGTTCTTGTTTGTATCATAGGAGCAGCGACAGGCCCCGACTAGGACCAGGGCCCCACTGGGTTAGGCCCTGCCTTTGCTACAGTTACGGGGTAATTTCCGCTGAAGACACCCACTCCCCCTGAACCCTGAGACACCCCCCCCCTTCGCCCAGTGCCCTCAGTCTCTGCTCTCCCTGCCCCCTCTCCTCCAGCCTCGGCTGTGCACAGAGGCAGCAGTCAGTCCCTGCCCTGAAGAGCTGACGGTCTGAACAGGCAGCAGGGGAGAGGGGAAACTGAGGCCCAGAGAGAGGCGGGGACTTGCCAGCGGTCAGACAGCAGGTCAGTGGCACAGCCAGGACTAAAATCCAGGTTTCCTGAGTCCGAGGCTGTAGCCACTAGGGAACACTGCCTCTCGGTTGACGCTTTACAATATGGCTGGTATCCTGGCCACCAGCTGCCAGGGGAGCCCCTGCTGCACTGCTGGGAGTCCAGGCTTCCCTGGAGTTAGTGTGTCAGTGACAGCGGGTGCTGAACACAGACCCGAGCCTGCTGATTTGCCTCCCCTCTGGGCTGACGGGCTGGGCAGGGGCAGGGCTTTGGCTGAGAGCTCTCCAAGGAAAAGGCAGCAGCTGCCGGAGATGGAGTGGGTGACGTGGCATGGGTGGCTCCTTCCTCTGAGTCTCTGCCCCCTGCTAGGGGGCACTGTGCTGCTGGAGGGCCTGTCTTTTGGTTGTGATTGAGAAGGCAAACCAAGGTCCTGCCCACGGAGGATCCCCTGGCTCTCCCCCGGGGGCAGGGCTGGGAGCCTCGCTCCCTTGGCCAGATTCTGGAGTTACACTCTCCCTCTCTGGATTTCCCTTGTGGCTTCAGCTGAATAGAGGAGTCTCCTTTGCTTCCTAAACTGTTGTGTGCTGTGGCCATGGGGCTGCTGTGTCTCGCCCCAGAAGTGGCTGCATTTCTGACGTTGGTTAAGTTGTTCTATAAGCCATTTGAAAGTCACTTTGGGATCCCTCTGAGCCTCGCTGCACCCATAAGGAGAGGATCTTTTCACTAGACCAGGGACGCAGGACTGACAGGGGCCTCCTGGGCCACCGAGGCCAAACATTGCCATCGCAGGCAAGCCCTTGATGTCACCCATTTACTCGTCAAGCTCCATGTTCAATCTGGTTAGTTGGTTGCCCCCCCGGCTTCTGCCTTTGGGAACCTGGTGCAGACCCTCCCTCCCGCGATGGAGCTAGAGATCACCATAAGACACTTGCTTTCTCCTCCTCCTCCATCTGGCTCAGCTGAAGGTCTCCCAGCCATTAAAGGCACCTCCAATGAGCAGCTCCCTCCACAACCCGCCCTGCAGTGCCCCGAAAGTTTAGCTCCGGAGAGGCCGCTGCAGATGCTCGGCAGGGCCAATCCGCCTGGTACCCCCAGCAGCATGCTTCTAACCTCCGTGACCTCCCGTCTGCCAGGCGTGAAGGCGCACGCTGTTCTTAACAGGGATGTGCTCTGCGGGGTCAAGGGCTTGGAACTGCATCTGAATGTGTCTTTCCGATTCCAGGCCTGCTCATAAAGGGGCCACTTTCTCACTGCACAGCCGAGGCTGGAGGAGAGGGGGCAGGGAGAGCAGAGACTGAGGGCACTGGGCGAAGGGGGGGGTGTCTCAGGGTTCAGGGGGAGTGGGTGTCTTCAGCGGAAATTACCCCGTAACTGTAGCAAAGTTGCCTTGTCCGCTATAGCTCTGGTCCCCCAGTGTGAGCTTTGCCATCAGTTCCACAGGGGGGGGCTTAGCCAGCCCGTAGGGGACGGGTGGCAAGAAGACCAGCTGGCACTGAACCAGGGGCTTCATTTTCTTGGCACCTCTCAGCTGGCACAGCCATGACTGCAGTATAAACAGTGGTGAGCCGTCAGATCCTGCTCATGTTCCCTAGTCTCTGCAGCCTGGTCAGCTATTTGCGCTCTTGACTGAGCATTTTTCCTCCCTCCCTCCCAAATTTCGCTCCCCCCTTTCCACTGGTGCCTGGCTGTGCCCCTGCCTTGGCACTGCTCCTGGCAGCAATGGCCAGCTCCCAGTTCCCTGGGGAGGCAGAAAGAAGACAGCCGCGGTTAGTTACACCAGTTGTGAAATGCAAAGAGCTACATACAACTCTGCCGACTCCCGCTCAGTTTACCCCAGGGAGAGATTCGGCCTGTTAATTGGAACCCAACACAAACCGACCATGGTGGTCGGATGGGGACCTAGTCTGCCTGGAGGCATCCAGCTTCGGTTCGTGACCAAGGCAGTTTTCCCAAGCTCAGGGAGGTGACTCAGGCCAGCTTGGTACCTGGATAGGAAACCTCCGCCACACGGCGCTAGCAGGTGAGTGGGGTTGTTGATGCCGTAGGTACTATTCTATCAGCTGAAGTACTGTGTCTGGGGGCGCTATTCTGCTGGAGCTGCTGCCCTTTCCGATAAGCTTGGTACCTCTGAACACCTTTTGCAAGGTGGCGAATGTGATCCCAAAGCCCTGCCCAAATGCTTGGCTAGGGAATGACATTCTGTCAGCCCACATGCTCCTTGCGATTTCAGTTTTCTACGCTTTCCACCCAAAACTGTTGTGCTACCTGTTAAACAGCTGCCACATTCCACCCCAGAGGGGGCTGCATCACAGTGATGGTTTTAGTTTGCAAAGAGCTTTGGGGAGCGAAGGGCATTCTAGAAACATAAGATATTTTCATTTCTTTGCCTGAGCCCCGAGACAGTCTGTGGTCAATTAAACCGAGAGCGACCAGGAGGAAGAATTGAACACCTGCTCCATATGGGGTCTTGGTGTGTGTTTGTCCTAACGTTTCACTTGAAACCACATGAAATCCAGGCAAATGACTTGTTACAGGTTGTACCTCAGTCTGGTGACAGATTCAGCAACTGAACTGTTGTGCTCTGAGCAGCTGCTGGTGGTAGCTCAGAGCCTGTTTATTACAGCCCTTTGCATGGACTGGAAAGCCCAGCAGGGCTGGCGGTAGGGCAGCGATTCCCTGTCTGACCCCATTCCTTTCTCTTCAGGCATTGCAACACAAACGCTGCCCAGCAAGAAAGGCAATTGCCGGCTAAAGGTGTGCTGGGACATGGTAGAGAGACAGGGGAAGGGGAAACGTCCCAGATGGACGGCTGAGGGAAAGTGTGTGTAAGTGAAATGACTGATCAGGGAGTTATATGAAGGGGAGAGAACAAGCAAAGCTGGAGTGAGAGGGGAATGGGGGAGAGGGATGAGGAGGTGACTAGGAGGTTTTTTGGGGGGAAGGCTCTAGAGCCCTGGGAGTGGGGTCCCTTCCACCTTATATCTTAAGTTCCTAAAATCTCATGCTTCAGGGCCCAGCTAGTCATCTGCAGGGATCAGGAAGATGTGTTCTCCTCCCCACCCCAGGGTATTCTGGGTTTTGTTTTGATTTGTCTCCTTCCTCCAAACCATCAGGGATGGCCACAGCGAGACATGGGACACAGGACGGGGAGGGCTGTGCTCAGGGATGGCGGCACGTCTCTCTCGCTCAGCTCTTACTCACATGCTCAGCGTCTAGCTGATCACCGTGTGTGCGGTCAGGAAGGAATTTCCCCCTTGCTCAGATTGGCAGGGACCTGGGCCGGGGGGGGGGGGTCCCCTTCCTCTGCAGTGTGTGGGTGCGGATCACTTGCCAGGATTATCTGGGTCTAGCTCATGTAACCATTTCTCTGCTATCGTGGCGGCCTCGGGCACTGGTGTGCCTCAGTCCTTCCTA